ATTTGTGACGAGCAGATCATCACCGACAATCTGGATCTTGCTTCCAAGCTCCTTCTGCATGTTCGTCCAAGCTGCAATGTCGTCCTGATCGAAAGGATCTTCAATGGACACCATAGGGTACTTGTCAACGAACTCCATGTACACCTTAACAAGTTGGTCTCCCTTTAGCCACTTCGATTTGTCGGAGTCCTTGTTCTTGAAATCCAAGTCGTACATCCCACCCTCCTTGAAGAACTCGGAAGCGGCAATATCGGTACCAATCTTCACCTTACCATCATGTCCAGCCGCCTTAATGGCTTCCACGAGAAGGTTGAGAGCTTCGAAATTGTCCTGAATGGACGGAGCGAATCCACCCTCATCTCCAACGTTGGTGGCATCCATGCCGTACTGCTTCTTGATGATGCTCTTGAGGTTGTGATAGACCTCAGCACCCATCTGAACAGCTTGCGAAAACGAGGAGGCTCCAACAGGCAGAATCATGAACTCCTGCATTGCTAGCTTATTCCCGGCATGAGAGCCACCATTAATCACGTTAAAAGCTGGCACAGGGAGGCAGAACTTTTCAGTGGGTTTGCCAGCGAGTTTGGCAACATATTTGTAAAGGGGCATCTTGGAAGCAGCAGCACCTGCCCTTGAAATGGCCATTGAGCAAGCGAGAATGGCATTCGCTCCAAGCTTCTGTTTGCACCAACCCCACTCGTTCTGAGTTCCGTCAAGACTTTCAACCATGAGCTTGTCCAGACCCGCCTGGTCCGTAGCATCCTTTCCCACAAGCGCAGGAGCAATGATTGTGTTCACATTATTGATCGCCTTCAAAACTCCCTTACCAAGGTAGGTGGATTTGTCACCGTCGCGAAGTTCAAGAGCTTCGTATATACCTGTGGAAGCACCAGAAGGCACAGCGGCTCTGAAGCACCCTTGCTCGGTAGTAAGATCCACTTCAACAGTAGGGTTACCTCTGGAGTCTAGGATTTGACGAGCGTGAACTGAAACGATCTTAGCAGACATGATGTAGATGCTGATTATTCGACAACCCTTTCGGCAAGTCCAGGAGACGGGCTGTCGGTTTACGTCTCATAGCGGTTTACGTCTCATAGCGGTTTACGCTCCAAATTGATAGTTCAGTGATGACAAAAAGAACTTTTGATTTCTATACAAAAACTGTCTAAAATTACACGCACGGCTTCCTGAAGTGCACACCCGCAAAGCAGGCATTAGTGCCGAGCTCTTCTTCGATTCTCATGATCTGATTGTACTTGGCAAGTCTTTCAGATCTGCAGGGGGACCCGGTCTTTATCTGGCCTGTTCCGAGACCAACGACGAGGTCAGCGATGAAGGTATCTTCAGTCTCACCAGATCTATGGGAGACCATGACACCCCATCCGTAGGACTGTGCAAGCTTCACGGCTTCAATGGACTCGGTTACGGATCCGATTTGGTTCACCTTCAGCAGCAGGGCATTACAAGCGTCATGTTCTTTCGCCCAGGCGATACGCTTGGGATTTGTGACGAGCAGATCATCACCGACAATCTGGATCTTGCTTCCAAGCTCCTTCTGCATGTTCGTCCAAGCTGCAATGTCGTCCTGATCGAAAGGATCTTCAATGGACACCATAGGGTACTTGTCAACGAACTCCATGTACACCTTAACAAGTTGGTCTCCCTTTAGCCACTTCGATTTGTCGGAGTCCTTGTTCTTGAAATCCAAGTCGTACATCCCACCCTCCTTGAAGAACTCGGAAGCGGCAATATCGGTACCAATCTTCACCTTACCATCATGTCCAGCCGCCTTAATGGCTTCCACGAGAAGGTTGAGAGCTTCGAAATTGTCCTGAATGGACGGAGCGAATCCACCCTCATCTCCAACGTTGGTGGCATCCATGCCGTACTGCTTCTTGATGATGCTCTTGAGGTTGTGATAGACCTCAGCACCCATCTGAACAGCTTGCGAAAA